GAAACAAGTACCGGCAGCTTTTCCCATAAAGCCCGGATGGGAGATGCATGGCTTCGCCACAGAAAGTCTCCCCTCAAGCCCGGCGTCTACCTCTTCTCGCTGCTCCGGAGGCCAATGTGGTACATCGGTCTCTTGTCCGAGACCTGGAATTGCATCACCACGAACTTTGTTTTCGACGTCAGTGGTCCTCTATGCGCCTTGCAAACTTCCCAATGAACATTTCCCAAGCTTGAGGTCATCGCTTCCCTTTACTTGCATTGTTTCCGCTGATCGGGGGTTGGCATACCACTCTGGGGTGGCTCCGGCCCTCGTTGTCTCCTTTGGTGGCCCTTGCCTCCATCGGCCGGAAAGACGAGCTTCCCACTCGTGGAACTTGAGATCCGTGTTTAATGCTAATGCCATCGCTTGCTGGACCGAGCGAGGAGATAGCTGAGCTATTTCGGTTGCCATTGCGATGCTAGGTAACGTTGCATCAAAGCATCCTCCGGGATGTTGGTCACCTCGTATCTCGCCTTAAGCCACGTCTCGTTGAATTCCTGAGCGTCTGGGACTTAAATCTGTACACCATTCCGCAGAGTTTGTTGAAGGGAAGCTCTCCCACGGACTTGATGATAATGCTCCCGAATCCTTTGCTTGAACTCCTCCCAACTGGAAGCCTGGTTTTACAGTCTCGATCGAGATGGGACTCGGTCTTGTCATCATAGCTCAGCTACATAGAAAATATTTAGTTTACCAGCATAACAAAGAAAAGAAAAGAGAACTTGATATACCACTACTGTATTCTCTTTAAGTGCAGCATCCATCTCAAAAACGTGTAGCTTGACAATTGGGATTGTTATCATGCTTTGTGTGCCACCTCCAGACTTGCAATCGTGGAGGGTGCTCCCATTCATGTGCAGTCCAGTTAACACTTTGCATGTGACACATGTCACAGCACTTTTTTCTTTCGCCTCAGGCAAATGGCCACCTCCAGAGCAAACATCAACACGATTATTGCTAAGATGTGGTTAAAAAAATAACCTTTTTACAATTAACCCCCATCAGACGGCTGCAATTGACTGGATCTGGTGGCACTCCTACAGTTCCTTTTCATGTTATTTAAATAACCTATATAGGATTACTTATTAGGGCTTGACAGCTTGGGTATGGAGATTACTAGTAGGAGCATTCCATTGTGGTGGTTCTTCTTACCTGTTTCAATTATCATGACCTGGGCAATTAGTTTCTATGTCTTCACCATCTATATCACATTTTACTCTGCCATAAGATATTGGCAACTTGTTTGCTTCACTTGTCATTTTTATCAGTAGGGTGTGGTTTTTGCTGTGCTTGTCTTCCAGAGCTTCTTTTTTTACCTTTTCTCTTCCCTGGGATTACTGGGGTTCCCAGTCTTTTCCCAAGGAAACTATCTGTTTTCCTGCTCCCTCAGGGCAACTTCTATTCTTCAGGTGGCTATATTATTGGAGGTAATATTAGAACAGTTGTGTAAAATACTATTGCTAAACTGATTTTACAGTTATTATTGGAATCGCTACTCTCTTCCACTACAGGTGCTTGGTTAGTATTTTTATTGGAGCAGCTAGTGCATTAGCCAGCACATATGTCTCAAATCGCTCCTGGTTTATTATTTGGCAAGTTTTTTCTGCAATAGCACATTCTTGTGCAGGAACATCAGCTGTAATGAGATGGTTCATAGAAACACCCTGTTTTATTAGTTGGAAAAGATGGTTTTTGTCCAAATCATGGATTTGCCGACTGTCAGAGGGAAGATGACAACGTTATATGTGAAGTAATTGGTACATATCCTATAGGTTCTCTTTGTGTGCCAGGTTGCATACCTATCACTTTTATGTGTAGACATTATATCCAGACTGGAGGTGGGGAAATAGGATGGTGTGTGTCATGGACTCTATTGTTGTTGTGGTGTTAGTGGGGGAAATGTTAGGACGAGTTTTGATGAACAAAAGAAACAGTGGGAGAGTAGCAAATGCTTCCAATTAAATGTGTAATATTAAAGTGATCAAGAGAACTTTGGGCTGGTTGAAACTAGAATTCATGTGCTGCCACAGATAATGCAAGTATTCAGAGAGTGGGTTTTTTTGGTTTGCTTAAGCAAACCTATAGGGGGACTGGGATGGTATTGGATATACCTAGAATATGCTTGGATATTCTAGGATATTCTACCATCTAACGGTTGTTATTCATTTAGATTAATTTTGTATTTATAATTTATAAATTTTCTTAAACCTTTTCTAGTATATTCTTTTTAATTCTACCATCTAATGGTTGATATGCAATAAAATTAATCTTGTATATATGAATTACAAACATGCTTATAATTATAAACTTTATTTGATCAATTGGATTAATAAGTAATAATAACACTAGTATTAAGCAAACCAAGTGTTACTATATGCAATGCGTAGCAATTTATTTAATATATAGCAGCATAGACTTCTGCAGTGACATTACGACTTTGCCAGTCATACACAAGAGAGAGAGAGAGAGAGAGAGAGAGAGAGAGAGAGAGAGAGAGAGAGAGAGAGAGAGAGAGAGAGAGAGAGAGAGAGAGAGAGAGAGAGAGAGAGAGAGAGAGAGAGAGAGAGAGAGAGAGAGAGAGAGAGAGAGACCTCGGAATATCAACTTAAGACTGTTTCATCATGCTAATGTGTTTTTCCAATTATTATTAGAGTTATTTATGCTGGTCAGTATTTTTATTGGAGTACATATGTCTCAAATATGGTTTATCATTTTGTCTGCAACAGCACATTCTTGTGAAGGAAGATCACCCATAATGAGGTGGTTCATAAAAACACCTTGTTTTCTTTTTCCAAATCATAGGGTTGCAAGTGCCCAGGTGATCACAACAATATATGTGAAGTGATTGGTGGATATCCTATGGTTTCCTTAGGCTAGCCAGGTTTTGTGTAGACGTCGAGGGAAATAGGATGGTCTGCGTTGTGGACTCTATTGCTATTATGGTGTTAGTGGGGGAAATACAGGTTCTAATGAACAAAAGATATGCGAGAGTAGCAAATGTTTGCAATTAAGAAATATCGAAGTATTGCAATCCAAATGAGCAATTGAACGAATTAAGCACGTTGAGCTACAATGTTCCCGATCACACTTTCCTGACAAGCGGGGGATAGTTGTCCGCGTCACACTATACTACAACTTAAGTAAAAGAAGGAATAAACTTGTGCCAACGATTAGCACCGATTATCAGCAAACTATTGTTTGAAAAAAGCTCTAGAAACTGTCCAAGTGTCGCTTTGAGGATCCATAAACACAGAATTTTGGTCCTGAACAAGCGAATCGATTTGCTTTCTGAGGGTAAACTTAAGAAAGTGCGGACTGAAGAACGCACCGCTTATAGGTCCCTCAAAAGAAAAAGAGAAAAAAGGCATTTGAAACACATAAAATCTTACGGGTGTGGAAGCTTGACAATAAGCACAGGGCATTCAGCATGCTGTGCAGCATAGTCACTCACGCTTCCCAGGAA